AATCTGACTGCCTGCATAGAGTACCCATTCATCTCCCTACTGAAGTGGAACCTATTTATCTATTCACAGAGAACATGTTTTTGAACTGCAAGTTGGGCAGAAGCTGAGGCAAGTTTTGGGAGTTCATCTTACCATGCAGTGCTAGGGCTCAAAACTTCTTGACCAGAGACCATCTCCAATGTCATGAAGCCACTGAGCCACCTCACCTCTCTTCTTAAGCAAGTGGTTTACTTCAAATATTCTGCATTCCCTGACTCCACCCACTATGGTGTTCTGAACTAGCAGTACATTTCTTTGTTCTGTTAGACAATGGCTGGTTTGATAGCTACAGAGCAGTTCTCTATATCTACTTCACTACTGGATTAGAAAAGGAGTAGTACGGAATTGCCCTGAAGCTCCTTGGATGACATTCCTTGGCTGGCAGGCTGCATATTCAGCAAATTTCTTCTCCTTAGTAAGTTTGCCAAAGAAGAGGATTGATACCATGTCCATCCATTGAGAAAGCAGTGTCGACTCAGGAGTAAGGCCACACCTCAGAGATGATTGCCCCCTCCCACAGGACATAAAAGAGGAGCAAACAGGACATGAGCTTTTGCAGGAAGCAATTAGTTCGTTTGGTCAGTTCAAGCTTTGAACAGTGTTGTTTGACTCTGTGTCAAGTTTGGCCTTGCCCTGGGTTTGGTAATCAGTTCTCTGGCTGCATTTTAAGTGTGATAAGGTGGGTGTTTATAAACATTCCTGACAGACTATTTGTGAAGCCTGGCCAGCTGAGAATGAATATAATTCACAGCTGTGGAAATAAAAGAGGTTTTGTCAGGATTAGGATTGTGTTTTATACTTTCTAAGGAAGCCTAGGTCAGAACAGCATATGCAGCTAGAAGACAACTGCCAGGAGATGTTAGGATCCAATTTATAAGAAAATCTATTGAAAAGCAAGTAATTCAGAAAAATTACCAGCAGAGATTCAATGTTTTGGGAAACAGGTGCAAATATTCAAAGAAATTACAATTACAATATTAAGGAAAAACAAAGAATATTTTTTCCTGACAGATCTCCTGAAACAAAATAATATTCCCTTTCGCTTGCATAAGCTGGAAGGGGTTACTTTACCTTTATGATTGAATATGGTTCCATTTTTAATATAATTGAATATTTACAACAACATAATGACAAACAGTTGCATTAATCTTTTAGGATGCAGAAAAAGCTTTTGACAATTTGAACACGTTTAAAGCAGTGGAAAAGATGGATTTTGGTTTGGGCTTTATAGAGCATCTGAAGTGCATCTATACACTCCAGAAAGCTTGAATCATGGCAAATGGACACTTTACAAAACCAATTGCAATCCAGAAGGGAACAAAACAGAGGTGTTTAGTATTATTCCCTTTATTATTTGTTCTAGTGTTGGAACTGTTGAATAGAGAGATATTAGACACGTAACAGAGCAAAAGGACTACAGATTAAGGTGTACAATTACAAATTATGTGCATTTGCTGATGATTTGGTATTGATTGTACAAGACCCGCTAGAGAACAATAAACATGTTATGAGGAAGATTAAAATGTTTGGAGAAATGGCAGGTTTAAGAATAAATAAATGAAAGACGACAATACTGACTAAGAACATAAAGGTGGAAGATCAGAAGAAATTGGAATTTAACACTGGTTTTCAGTAATTAAAATGAATGCATTACCTAGAATGTTATTTTATTCCTGACTATATTGATTAGAGATTCTACTTTAAATAGTGCAGAAAGATATATCTAAATTTATTGGGCAAAATAAAAAACCAAGAATGAAATATAAGCTGCTACAAAATTCTAAATATAGAGGAAAAACTTCCGGTTTGCAAGGCTTCAGCGGTGGCAGGAATCTGCGATCGTGCGCGGTTTCTGCCGTGCTCACTGCTGGAGTGCCCCCGATCCAGTTGGATTTGGAGGCTATAGTTACCCCATAGGGGTAGCTAAAGATAGGGGAGAACCAGGCAGGGGTCTGGGGGAATCGCAACCCCCCTCCTCAGCCAGCTTAACTCTCTTTTCTGAAGGCGGTGGAGCGGCGTTCAGCAATGGCCGCCACAAAGAAGCCTTCAGCCGGATAAGAATTGTGCAGGAGGAAGTTTGAAGTGAAAGTTACTGGCTGACCCGGGACAATAAGGAACATCTAAATACCCTGGAATTTAAATTCTACTAAAGATACATCGCTCCCAAAGAAGACGGAAAAAGCGGCGAACAAAAGTAAAAGGGAAAGTTTGTTTTTTCTCACTCTCCTTCCTTACGGTGATAGCAGATGGAAATTGGAAATACCTGCTTTTGCATCAACAGGTAAAGCCAAGGGGACAATAAAGATTTCTAAACAGGGGGGGGGGGGTAAAAAAAAACCTTTTTTTTGCTATAAGTGGGAAGGGAGAGGAAAAGAATTAATATTAAGATTCTGCTGGAGGAGGCTGCTTAGAACTTATAAGACTAGAGCTAAATTGTAACAAGACTTCTAAAAGATATATTTCAATTGGAACTTTGCAACTGTAACCCCAGGAGGAAAAAGTATAAAAAGAAGAAAGTGTTTAAATGAAACAGTTTGAGTGTATTTGGATTGCTTGGTGACTTTGGGACTTTGGAAATTATTATTTGAAAGACTAAAAACATTTGGGTTGTTTTAAAAAATTTTCACAATGGCACTACTTGTTGATGATTTGAAAATCGAATTTAAAAAGCTAAAAGAAGAATACAAATTGCAAGTGTTTGCCGATGATGTGTTTTTTTTTTATTGAGGAACCAACAGAAAGAGGACAAAAATTGATAAATGAACTAGAACAATTTGGAGCGGTAGCAGGACTCAAAATTAATAGGAGGAAAACAAAATTAATGACTAAAAATTTAACAGAAAATCAGAAAAAAGATTTAGAAGTTATGGGAATACAGGTGACAAAGAAAGTTAAATATTTAGGAATATGTCTGACAGCACATTGCAAGACACTTAAGGAAAATAATTATGACAAACTGTTGCAACAAGTAAAGAAAGACCTAGAATCATGGACCAGGCTGCAACTTTCACTATTGGGCAGGATTGCTTCTATTAAAATGAATATTCTTCCAAAATTTTTATACTTATTTCAGATGATTCCAATTAAACTACATAGAATTTTTTTTTGAAGAACTTAATAAAATAACTGTTAAATTTATTTGGCAAGGGAAAAAACCTAGAATAAATTTAAAGGCAATGCAGCATATGAAGAGCAGGGGAGGGTTGGCACTTCCAAATTGGGAATTGTATTATATGGCTGCTTCCTTAGTATGGCTAAAAGACTGGGTGAACTCAATTAATAAGAGAACTCTATTTTTAGAAGGCCATGATTTGCAGAGGGGGTGGCACGCCTTTTTATGGGAGGTAGGGAAAGTTAATCAGACATATTTCCACAGACATTTAATTAGAGATTCATTATTAACTAATTGGAAAAAAATACGGAAAAAACACTACTTAAAAGTACCGATTTGGTTATCGACAATGGAGGCGATGATTCACCCAAACAATTTGGACATTACTAAAATGATTAAATATAAGGATTTATTGGATACACAAGGAAATTTGAAATCACGACAAGAGCTGCAAGAGCGGGGATTTAAAATCGATCAGTGGGTATATCTTCAAATTCATAGTAGATACAAACAGGATAGGAAAGAATTAGGAATTAACAATAAACTTCAGCAATTAGACAAAATTTTATTAGGATCAGACAAGAAAAATATAACTAAATTTTACAACTATTTATTAGAAGTAGAATTAGAAGAAGAGACAGTTAAAGGGAATATGATAGCCTGGAGTAGGAACGTAGGACGGAGTATCACTTTAATAGAATGGGAAAACATCTGGAACAGAAATAATAAGATTACAAAATCTGCAGCATATAAAGAAAATGCTTATAAAATGTTTTACAGATGGCACCTTCCTCCCTCGAGATTAGCGAAGATGCGCCCCAATATGAGTCCGAAATGCTGGAAATATAAAAAAAAGAAGGAACCTTTTTTCATATGTGACGATCCTGTAAAGAAGCCCAAAAATACTGGCAAAGAATTAGAAATTGGCTGGAAGATATAACAAAAGAACAGATTGAGTATAAACCAGAGTCCTTTCTCTTAGGGATTTTCGATAAACAGTATAGTCACAACAACATTCTTTCACATGAGATCAAGGACGAGCTGCTGGCACCTGGAAGAGAGTGACCAAACTTTGGCGCCAGCTGAGCAAGGAGATTGATTGGGTCATGTGATGTGAATGTCACTGGACAGGGCAGTGTGTGAGTTTTAATTTGGATGGGGGGAAAATGTGGGATTTCAGATTCGGGTTTTCCCCAGATGTGCCAATATGACTTCTCTAATAAACTTTGATGGACTTTGTCTCAGAGTTCTGAATTGTAGTGAAGGTTTACTTGGAACGTTGACAGTCTGATGTACAAAGTGCTAGTTCAGTTCCCCTGAGCAGTGAGTTGCTTGTTAGACAAGATACAGCTTTCTTTTTCTTAAGGAAGTCTGGTCTACTTTTTTTTCTGCAATTGCTATACTTGATGATGTTCCTTCCCCGGGTAACTGCATATGTCCTTCCAAGGGGAGAGTATGAAATTGTTTAGTTCCAATGGGGCTGGACTAGACTGGACTAGGTTTGATTTGTTTCCTTCATTGAGTGACATGTTGCCATCGGTCTACCTTTAAAGGTTCATTCTTATGTTAGTTAATTGTTCAATATGATGTTCAATTTGGTTGCAATCTTTTTCCTTTAATTTGAGTTTCTCATTTTGTTGTTTAAGTTTCAGAGTGGCTAGACTTGTCTCTAATCCCTTTTCTTTTTCCTCTATTGTTTGTTCCTTACTGTGTTAAGTATTATAGGAACTGAACAGACTATGGTTATATAGGGCAGCTGAACTGCCTGTCCCTGGATATATTTTCAGAAGAGAAACAGTCAAGAGAAAGTAACAAACATCAAATTAAAAAAGAAACAATGATCACTTACCATAGTTTTTCTATTTTACAGTCTGGGTGTTGAAGCCCCTCACACAGCCTCTTCACCATTTCGACTTCTAAATACTCCATCCACAACCATAACGTTCTCAAACTCTGGTTTTCCCTGAGTACTTCTGCAAGATCCTTGCTGCCAAATTCAATCATGAATTTTCCAAAAAGCCTGCATATATGAACCCCCCCCAAAATTACTATTATTTCTTGGAAAATAAATATAAACTATAGCCTTGAAGGAACTGAAGAGAATATTGAGAATATAGTTATTTGCTGATAATGGAACTGTCTCTCCCATTTTAATAATTAATTTCAAACATTTATTTTAGATCCATCTGGACCCTTACTTTGTATATAACTTTCCAAAATCAATGTTCTCATTACCTTTTTGCTGTTTATTCCAAAATAAAAAATAATTTTTTTATTGCTTACATTTACATAAAATTGCTTTTGCTTAAGATTGAAGAACAATCACTTAGTATAATGAAACTTACTATTCTGAAGTTTTCTAATACAAAGCAGATAACAAGCAATTTCCAGAAGTGATTAAGAAAGGAGTTTGTGAACCCTGTGTCCTTGGACAAAGGTAGCAATTGCTTAGCACCCAGATCTTGGAGCTTGCCAGAGACCTTTATCCTATAGTCTCATGGGGTGCTGCTGTCTAGAGTGCTTAGGGGCAATCTTAAGCCCTCTCCTTGTCCAGAGAAGAATGCTGATTTTGCCATTGCTTCCCTGGAAATCTGGTAAGTCCAAATTATTCAATGCCAATAATAAAGTAATATATAGTACATAGCAAATCTCTCTTGAAAGTAAGATGGAAATTAAAATTTTCAATGTAGATTAGCAACTACCTGACAAGTCAATATTAATTTTAAAGCAGATTTCCAAAACCGTTAAGCATAAGAACGTTTCAAAGATAGCAATAGCACTTAGATTTATATACCGCTTCACAGAGCTTTACAGCCCTCTCTAAGCGGTTTACAGAGTCAATATATTGCCCCCAACAATCTGGGTCCTCATTTTACCAACCTCAGAAGGATGGAATGCTGAGAACGTTGAGCTTAATGAGATTCGAACTGCCAAATTGCAGGCAGCCAACTAGACGTAGCCTGCAGTATTACATTCTAACCACTCCACCACCATGGCTCTTCTATAGATCTTTATTGTATTAAAGGAAGCTAGTAAACAATTGCAGAGAAAGTCCAGGAAGTATTAACAAGGTGATATTATTCATTCAAATAATGAAGAAAGAATGAACAAAGGCTACAGATCAGTGGTGGGATTCAATTTTTTTAAATTCCCTCCCCACCCCACTAACCTCTTTCCAGCTGCATTTCCTGTGCAGGGCAACAAAAGAAGACCCAGCCGATCAGCTGGGACTTGGGAGGCAGAGAATAGATGGGGGTGGGGCCAGTCAGAGGTGGTATTTGCTGGTTCTCCAAACTACTCATAATTTCTGCTACTGGTTCTCCAGAACTGGTCAGAATCTGCTGAATACCACCTCTGCTACAGATCTATACCTCTGTAGAGTCTAGCTGCAGAATTTTTTTTAACAGAGTAATTGCTGTCATGTCTACAAATTGCTTAATGAAGATGTCAGGCTTATCCTAGCTTGGACGCTTAAGAAAGAAAGACCCTTTACTCCATTTGTAGCAAAGTGTATACTTTTACTAAAGCCAAATGGTTACAGCATAAGCAAAGCTGGAGCTAACTATTCCTGCATAAATCCTGATTTTTCCCTTTCTCCCGGACCCTTCCCCTTGACTATTCATAAATCTTCCCTAGTTTTTGGGACTTCTGGTTGGACTTCCTCACCGATGGACCAAAATCCATGATCGTCCATGGTTTCAGTTCGTGCTCTGCCGTCGGAGGGCCCCAATCATCCTGATTTGGGGGGCGGAGCTACCCCATAGAGGTGGCAAAGAAGGCGGAGACTGCCAGCTGAGTCAAGGGGAGCCGCATCTCCCCTCCTTGGCTTGGCAAACACTCCCCTCCAAAGACGGCTGTAGCAGTGGTCAAGATGGCCATCCTGAAGAGGAAGAGCTGACCGGGATAAGAGAGTGCAGGAGCGATGAAGAAGAGGACAGCTTGAATGATCAGGCTAATCAGGTGCAACATCTAAATAAAAGGTACCACGGAATTAAATACTTAAGGATCTTTAAGAAAGACATTTAAAGTGGCAACAGAGAAGTGAAGAAAAAACGAGGGAAATTTGACAGCTGAAACTTGTACTTTGTAAGAGACGTCTGAAGATGATATTTGTTTAAATTGGTAGATATACTATCCTGACACTAAATAGGCAAATCTAAAGCTGAACTTGAACATGTCAAAGGAAAAAATAAAGAATTTTGAATTTTAAAAGCCATTAAAGAGAAAAAGGTGTGTGTGTGTGTGTGTGTGTGTGTGTGTGTGTGTGTGTGTGTGTGTGTGTGTGTGTGTGAAATTTAGACATAGCAGAGAGTGCCATCTAGTGGCAAAAGGAATTACTCGTGAATTATTATTTTTTCTTTCACTTGATTCACTTAAAGGACTGATACAAAGTAAGTGAAACCTTACTACAATAAAATAGAGGCCCTGGAAAGTGAAAGTGAAGTGTTGAAGTTTGAAACAAAGAAAGAAGCAAGAAGAAATTGTTCTGGGACTCTTTGGTGACCTTGGAATATATAAAAAATTTGGATATTAGATTACTTGATGAACTAATCAAAATTAACTCTTGGAAATAACTTTTAGACATTGGTTGAATTAAATTACTGGACAGAAGTGTTTAAAGATGGCAGAACTTTTTCTGGAATTAAAAATAGAACTAAGAAACATGAAAGAAAAGCTGCAAGAGAAAGGGAAATTGCTTGGCTTTGCTCTACAATTTTTAGAAATTGTAGAAGTTTAGCGATCTCGGAGTATGAAGAACAACAAGGAGTACCAGAAGGAGAGAAAGAGCTGAATGAAGAAGAGGCCATCTTTAACAAACAAGTGGAGCAACAAGGGTTAAAGCGAAAAGGGAAAAGAATGGGAATTAAGAATTGGAGATTTGAGTAGATAATCAAAAAAGGGAATAGTTTGAAAACCAAACAAAATACAAGGAAACAGCAGAAAAGAGAATTACCGAAGGAAGCTTTAAAGAGGGAGGGGGATAAAAACTGGAGTAAGAAATGGAGCAGAAAAATAAAGGGGGAAAGAAATAATAAGAAACAGAATCAGGAAGTAAAGAAATATGGAAATCGAACAAAAATGAAAAGAAATTGTTTATTTTAAACACACAAAGATAATGGTTAACTAAGAATTAAGAGAGAGGATTCTGCAAGGTGATAAGGGGTAGTATAAATTTGTTAGAAATAATAAACTATTTAGAAAGTAGGAAAATATAGATTATTAAAGTGGAAGATTGGAACTGATATTGTTTGATACTGGAATGCTTGTTATTTGTTAAATTAAATATAGAGATAAATGGAATAAATGTGAAAGAAACAGAAAACATGAGAAATTTATTAGCTACGTTTGATTAACATATGGAATATAATTGAAATGAATTATGAGGATTGTTGTAAAGGGACTATAACTAGAGATAAATGGAATGAGGTGAAAAAAGAAGAGTGATGATATGTTTATTAATTATGCTCAATGAATCACAGAATACAGTTGAAATGAACTATAAGAATGGTTGTAATGAAATTAATATCAATTTCTATGATGAATTGAACAGATTAATCTTTCTTTTTGAAATTAGAAATGTACTTAAGGTAATTCAAGGGGAAAGTACCATGTGGAATCTGACTGAAAAGCTATATATGTTATGTAGTTGTTAGGAGATGATTGTTATAAATGTTTAAGGTGATACTTAAAAGTTGAATGTTTAATGGGATTTGAAAGAGAATTAATTATAAGCTATAGGGGTGGCACATTCTAATTGGCAATTATAGGGGAAATATTTGTTTTGTAATGTTTGAAATGAGGTGGATTTTTTTGGAAATGATGAAATAAGAATGTGCGATGAAATTGTAAACAGGACAGATAAAAGTATAGGTATAATTAATATGAAAATATGAGAACCTTTTAAAGGGAAAAGAAATAGGTTAAGAAATGAATGGGAAATCTATAAAATAAGCCTGAGGGAAATGATAGAGAACATACAAAGTAGTGGTAAGATATGTAATTAAATATGAAAGATGAATATGTAATCAAAGCAGAGGTGATATTGAGCCAGTTCTTGCCAGTTCTGGAGAACCAGTAGCGGAAATTTTGAATAGTTTGGAGAACTGGCAAATACCACCTCTGACTGGCCCCACCCCATCTATTCTCTGCCTCCTGAGTCCCAGCTAATTGGCTGGGTCTTCTTTTGTTGCCCTGCACAGGAGAAAGGAGCTGGAAAGCAGGTTAGTGGGGTGGGGAGGGAATGGGTATTTTGCGGTAACCTTCTCCCAAGAGTGGGGTTAGAATGGGGATTTTACAGTATCCTTTCCCTGACAGGCCCAAGCCACGCCCACCAAGCCACGCCCACAGAACCGGTAGTAAAAAAATTGAATCCCACCACAAAACTATGTCTGTATGGAGATGTGAAAATCTGGAATCATGCTGTTCGCTAAACAAAGATTTTTTTTCTATTGTTTTATGAAAATTGAAATAAAATTTTATTTTTTAAAAATCTTCCCTAGTTTTCAAATTAAGTGTTTGTGTCAGAGTCTTATAGTTTGGTGCCTCTTTGATAGACTTCCACAGTCCATTTTCACACCTGGATCTGCCGGTCTGTTCCACCAGTTTGTTTTGGAATGACACCTCTGGTTCCTGTCATCCTGTCAAACCCCTTCCCTGCATTTCCATTCTCCCTCCTTTCTGCATATATGGCTGCATTGATTTCTATGGCAAACCTGACAGAAGAGTTACTGAGTGTATTTCTCCAGGAACAATCTCAGAAAAAAGTAGCCCTTCAGGCAGATTCTCAGCACTTAACAGCTAAGAAAGCATCTTTGCAGTCAGAAGAGGCACAGCTCTTAAATCTCCTAGTAAATCTAGGAGGGCATCTTAATGCCCTTTTGACTATAATCCTGGATAGAATTCTATCTCAGAAAACCCAAGGAAGTGAAGATAATGTGGTTAAACATCAGAACTTTTCTGCCTTTCCTTAAATACTTTTCCAGAAAGTATTCAAGAGAAAGTTATGTACATCAAACTAAAAAAGAAACATAATTGCTCACCGGAGTTCTTCTACTTTACAGTCTGGACGTTGTAACCCCTCACATACCCTTTGGAATGCTCGTCCAGTTGGATACTTTAGCACCAACAATAACTCTTTTATTTTCCAAAATACGCTTGCAATATGCTCGCTGCAGGATTCAGTCATGTCCTCTCCACTAAGCCTATAAAAAAGATTCAAAACAATTAAAATTATTTCTTAAGAAACAAGCATGGGCTACATTGTTATAGGAACTGAAGAGAATATGGTTATGTACAGCAACTGAACTGCCTCTCCCTGGAACCAGTTCTGGAGAACCGGTAGCAGAAATATTGAGTAGTTCAGAGAACCGGCAAATACCACCTCTCACTGGAGATTTTACAGTATCCTTCCCCTGCCACGCCCACCAAGCCATGCCCACCAATAATCACTTACCATAGTTTTTCTACATTACAGTCTGGGTCTTGAAGTCCCTTACACAGCGTCTCCATCACACTGTCACTTATATTGTCGAGATACAACTTTAACTCTTTTAACATCTGGTTTGTCCTGAATACGTCTGCAAGATACATGCTGCAGATCATGGCCTCTTCACTAGCCTGAAACCTGCAGTTATGAATCCCAAAAGTTACAATTATTTATTGGAAAAGAAACATAGACATAAACATTCAGTTCTTCAAGGAACTGAAGAGAATATGGATTTTTCCTGATACAATAGAACTGCTTCTCCCAGAATACATTTCCCAAACATAAGCAGATACTTTTACTTTTGGAACAATGACAAACATTGATGAGATCAGTATCAGCACTAATATTGTGAGTTTTATGGAGAATTTTGTTAAGATGATATAAATCTAACTGTATACATTTAATGAAGGAATGAATGGAATAACTCTTTTTAAATATTATTATTATTGTAAATCCATTATTTATCGATATTATATTTTTTATCCACTGTGTGTTTTCCAGGGGTGAGATTCAAATTTTTTAACAACCAGTTTTGTGGGCGTGGCTTAATTTGTGGGTGTGCTTTGGTGATCACGTGACCGGATGGGCATGGTTTAGTGGTCATGTGACCAGACAGGCATGGCTTGGTGGCCATTTGACTGGGTGGGCATGGCCACGTGACTGGCAAAGACAAGTGGTCCTTGCTTAATGGCCAGTGCTTAGCAAGTGTTCTAATTTATGAGTGACCTTCCCAGAGCTACTTGACCTCTTTTTGGAGTTTTGATAGCCATGCACACACACACACACACACACACACACACACACACACTTCTAACCCTGCTGGAGCAAGGGGATTGGACTAGAAGATGACCTCCGAGATCCCTTCCAGGCCAGCCCTAGAGTGTTCTGAAGCCAGGGTTTGTGTCCTTCCTTCCTTTCCTTTTTTTCTCTCTCCCTCCCTTCCTCCTTCCATGTATCTATCTATCTATCTATCTATCTATCTATCTATCTATCTATCTATCTATCTATCTATCTATCTATCCATCTATCCATCCATATATCTCATTCACTTTCTCCTCCCTCCCTGTCTTTTTTCTTTCTTTCTTTCTTTCTTTCTTTCTTTCTTTCTTTCTTTCTTT